TTGAATTTAGAAACATCCGCAGATGTGTTCATACGGCGGTTATCATGGAACCTTCAATGTGGCACAGTAGTGTCATTCCATAAAAAAGCGGCGTATGGTCCCTAAGAAAAAGAATGAGTGCCCTAAACGAGAAAACAATGGGCGGAACTAAATAAAATGGAATTTTGAAAGGTTATCTGAGTTTATGAAGTTCAGTTCAAGTTCAGTTCTGGTAGTTTATCTGGCTCATCTAGTCAGTCAAATACTCCCAAACCAAAGTCATCTGATGAACATAAAGGTCATAGTCCCTTATCACGTCCTGTATGCAATTATTGCAAGAAAACTGGACATCTTATATCATATTGCTTTACCTTAAAAAGGAGACAACAGCAACGTGATGAGGCCAAACCCACAGGTCTTACCACTTCAAGGTCTAAAACCTCAGTCTTGTATTGATAACAATGCAATTTTGAAGGTCAAAGAACCCAAGTCTGATTCTATAATGGAGATTTATGAACCATTCCGTGTCACTTATCGGTGATACTCGCCCATCTACTCCTATTAAAATTTTAGGAGACACAGGAGCTTCTCAATCTCTTATTTTAGCAGATACACTGCCTTTTTCTGAGAAGACTTCTTCTGGATCTAGTGTCCTTGTAGAGTGTGGTTTTTCTAATGTCCCTCTCCATAATATTTATTTGTCCTCAGATTTGGTGACTGGGCCGGTGGCTGTAGGTATAAGATCTTTCTTACCCTTTAAAGGTGTTCATTTATTGCTAGGTAATGACTTAGCTGGAGATAAGGTAGTGGTTAATCCACTTGTAACTGAAACTCCTTGTGTGGATCAGATACCGGACCCCATTGAGCAGGAAATTCCTGACCTTTACCCTTCATGTGCAGTTACTCGAGCTATGGCTAAGAAGGCCACTCAAGAAGACAATTATTGTTCAGGTATTGACTTAGCTGATACTTTTATAGGTCAGTCTTTTGATAATGACATAAATTTTTCTCTCACTCCTACTCTGTCTGAAACACAGACAGATTTTTCAATATCTGACTTTTCTACACCAAGATCTAAAGATCAAGGTCATGTTACACTGTCAAGGTCACAGCTTATCCAGGAACAACAAAATGATCCTGAGATTTCTGTCCTTTTTCAAAAGGCTTTTAGTGAAGATGAAGTCCCTGTTTGTTATTATGAAAAGAATGGGATTTTAATGAGAAAATGGCGACCGCCCGATGTCCCTGCTGAAGAGGAGTGGACTGTTAATCACCAAATTGTGGTCCCTAAATCATATCGCCAGGAAATATTAAGCTTGGCTCATGAAACACCCATGGCAGGTCATTTAGGTGTAAATAAAACCTACCATAAGATTCTCAGTCATTTTTATTGGCCTGGCCTTAAAGCAGATGTATCTAGGTACTGTAAATCTTGTCATACTTGACAGATGGTTGGAAAACCTAACCAGACAATACCTAAAGCTCATTTACAGCCTATTCCTGCATTTGATGAACCTTTTAGTAGAGTTATTATTGACTGTGTATGTCCATTACCAAAAACTAAATCAGGTTCTCAGTACTTATTAACTATTATATGTGCTTTTATGCGCTTCCCTGAAGCTATTCCTTTAAGAAATATTAAAGCTAAAACTATTGTCAAGGCTCTTGTGAAATTTTTCACATTTGTTGGTTTACCTAAATCAGTACAGTCTGATCAAGGGTCAAATTTTATGTCTGGTATTTTCCAGCAGGTCATGCATGAGTTAGGAATTACTCAATATAGGTCTATAGCCTATCACCCTGAAAGTCAAGGTGCATTAGAGAGATTTCATCAGACTCTGAAAAATATGATAAGGTCATATTGTTTTGACACTGAAAAAGACTTGGATGAAGGCTTCCATTTATTGTTATTTGCTGTAAGAGAATCTGTTCAGGAATCTCTTGGCTTCAGCCCTTTTGAATTAGTATTTGGTCACACTGTCCGAGGACCCTTAAAACTTCTTAAAGAGAAATTCCTGTCTGAAGATGACATATCTTTAAATTTGCTTCAGTATGTATCAGATTTTCGAAATAGGTTGACTAATGCATGTGAGTTAGCTAGGGTTAATTTAAAATCAACACAAAGTAAAATGAAATCAAGGTATGATGAGAATGCTCAGGAAAGAAGTTTTAACCCTGGTGATAGAGTACTTGCTCTTTTACCTATACCTGGAAAACCATTACAGGCAAGATACTTTGGTCCTTATACTATTGAAAAGAAAGTCAGTGACCTTAATTATATTATTAATACTCCTGGGAGGCGAAAGCAAAAACAAATGTGTCACATAAATATGTTAAAAGAATATTTTGACAGAGATAGCAAAATTAGTAAACCTATATCTTTTGTAAACTCTGTTCCACAAAATCAATGTTCAGTTGAATCTAATAGTTATGAAAGTTTTGAAAAGTCTGATCCTGGTTCAGCAAAGCTTGAAAACTCTGATATTCTGAAAAATCTGGATGAAAAACTTGCTCACTTAGAACTGTCAAAACGAGATGAACTGAAACAGCTTATTTATGAATATGAACATTTATTTCCTGATATTCCCACACGGACTGATAAAATACATCATGACGTCATTCTTGAAAACTCTGAACCAATTAAACAACATCCATATAGAACAAATCTTGTAAAACAAAAGTACCTAAGACAAGAAGTTCAGTATTTATTGGAAAATGACTTTATTGAACCAAGTCAAAGCAGTTACAGCTCTCCATGTTTTCTTGTACCCAAATCAAATCGAACATATAGAATGTGTACAGATTATCGTAAAGTGAACTCTGTAACAAAAACTGATTTATTTCCTATACCAAGAATTGATGACTGTATTGACAAAATTGGAAAAGCAAAGTATGTAACAAAGTTTGATCTTCTAAAAGGATTCTGGCAAGTTCCACTTACTCATAGAGCTAAAGAAATATCAGCCTTTGTAACACCAGACGGCTTATATCAATATAAAGTCATGCCCTTTGGTATGAAAAACTCACCAGCAACTTTCCAGAGGCTTATGAATATGGTAATATCTGGTCTACACGGATGTGACGCATACATTGATGACGCAATCATCTACTCTGATGAATGGGAGGAACATCTCAAAACTATAAGAGCATTCTTCGACCGACTTAGTGAAGCTAAATTGACAGTTAATCTTGCAAAAAGTGAATTTTGTCATGCAATTATAACATTTTTAGGACATGTAGTGGGACAGGGTTAAGTTAAACCAATAGAAGCTAAGGTCAAAGCTATCTCTGAATTTCCTGTGCCTACTTGTAAAAGACAACTGATGCGATTTCTTGGTATGGCAGGGTATTATCGTAAATTTTGTAATAATTTTTCGGTTATTGCAGAACCATTGACAAATTTGCTAAAGAAAAGAAACAAATTCATTGGGAATGACAAGTGTCAAATGGCATTTGACAGCCTTAAAACCATACTTAAGAGTGCACCAGTTCTCTTGGCACCAGATTTTAATAAAAACTTTAAGTTAGCTGTTGATGCTAGTGACATAGGTGCTGGAAGTGTATTGATCCAAGAAGACAACAATGGTGTTGACCATCCTGTTTGTTACTTTTCTAAAAAATTTAATGAACATCAGAAAAATTACTCTACTATAGAGAAAGAGTGCCTTGCTCTTATTCTTGCTATTCAGCATTTTGAAGTTCAACTTCTTCAAAGTTGCCTGTTGTTGTCTTTAGTGATCACAATCCCCTCACTTTCTTGCATAAACTTAAAAACAAAAATCAAAAGTTGTTGAGGTGGATCTTGTTTTTGCAAGAATATAGTCTTGACATTAGACACATTAAAGGGAAAGATAATTTGATCCCTGATGCACTTTCACGTGTCTAAAACTGTTATTTGCAGTATTTTAAATTTAACATTTATATGATATGATTGATTATTTTTTTTGTTGTTGTTTGCTATTGTTTATAATACACATATATATGAATGTATAAAATTGTTTAACATTTCTCCTATGTTATTCGTAAGTTACATTGTTTGGATTTCATTTTATTCATATTTCTTTTTCTTGAAGAGGGGAAGTGTTATGTATGCAACATATTACATGTATATAATTTATATCTGACCAGTTGGTATTTCCAATATTATCATTGTTCTATTTTTAGAACATAAACTACATGTATGTACTAGAAGGTTCTTACCTGTTGTAGAAAACTCATGCATTATATTTAGATAGAAACTTCTGGAATGTTCTTTATTGTTGAAGTTGCTAGATTATGATTACTTTAGAACATAATAGACTTTTCTGGAATTTTCTTAGTTAATATATATAAAGTAAAATTTTTCATTACTTTTACCTTTTAAGTAATCAGTGATCTTTTAAGTCATCAGTTACCTTTTAAGTCATCAATATATTTGGAGTATTATTCAACTTGGATATTAAGTGAATTATTGGAGCTTGGATTTTAAAATAAATTATTCTTGTGGATTTTATTGTGGGAATTTATTCTTAAGTGTTCTTGGATTTAACTTGGATTTAACTGTGCTATTCAAAAAGGATCATTCAAGGATCAGATAAGACATTTGAATTTTACATTTTTATTTGGACTTCAGGTATTTGTACACATAATTTGTTATTTTGATTTTCTTTATTAATTTTTCTGTAATAAATTTGTTATTGTTACAAGTTTGTTGCTGGTTTTTTTTTCTTGTTACGCCTGGCTCGTAACAATACCTCTTAGGGTTTCAGAGCTATGCCATGGACAATGTTTAAGGTGTAAAAATGAACAAAGGGCAATAACTCCAAAATAAGGCAAAGCAAAGTTACGATTTTTGTGCATCAACCCAACGTGATCTATCTGTCTACAAAGTTTCATATTGATACCTCTTGTTGTTTCAGACTTATGTCACGGATAAGAATAGAGGACGGACGGACGCACGATTGACGGACGAATTGTGATCACAAAAGCTCACCTTGTCACTTTGTGACAAGTGAGCTAAAACAAATGGAATAAAAAATCACCTCTTTTGTCACCAATCCAAAATCTTTTTCAAATTCAACTGCTGTCGAACCAGTTTCTTCCTCCTCGCTGTGGATGTCTTCTTCTTTATTTGGATCAAATCGCTGAAAATGGAATATATGTAAAAGTGTAAAAACTAAAGAATGAACTTTCTCCTGTGAACCTGCAAAGGCTAGAACAGATACACTTGCCATAAAAAATGAAAGAAGGTGCTTCCAAATTTGCTTAAATTATAGCCTTAGTGTATAAATTGAATATGCAACTGCATACATCTATAGAAATCATTAACTTCGACATTCATAGCAATCACTGGTTAACTACGGATCAAATTACTTTCATAGCAACCATTGACTTTCCAAAGATACCAGTGACTTGCATAGCAATATAGTATTTTTTCTAAGGAACCAATAACTTTAGTAGCAACCAGTAGCGTTTTAGTTAACCAATGACGTCATAGCAATTACTGACCATATCCACGCAACCCATGACTACGAGAGCAGATAATGACTTTCTATAGCAATCATTGGTCTTTATAGCTATCGTTTACTTTCCTTGGCGGCCAGTAACTTTCATAGCAACGAATGACTTTTTCCATAGAAAAGCAACCAGTGACGTTTATGCCAACAATATTTTCCGTAGGAACCAGCAATTTTATCTACATGCTAATAATTTACAGTGACTTCCTAAGGAACAAGTGACATTGACTTCTGTACCAATATTTATTCCAAAGCAGTCATTGCCTTTCTTTAGCAACATCTGCATTTTTAATGTAAACTTTGACTTTCGTTTGCACCTAGTGACTTATTTAAAGGAAACAGCAACATCCGTAGCAATCATTACCTTTAGAGAAGCCAGTGGCTTTCATAGCAACCACTGACTTTCATAGTAACCATTGACATCAATATCAAGCAATGACATTCCATAACAACTAGTGACTATTTACCATTGAATTACACAGAAAACGTGTCTATTATAAAGCAAAGTTTAATAAATACAATGGAATAGTTTTCATTCTGCCTATATGTCTACAAAAATACTCTTAAAAGCAAATGAATTAAAACATGTATCATATGAAAATGTACAACTTTAGGGTGCCTAGCCAAGTTTCATATTATCGCCATTTCATGTTTAAATGTTGCAATTATACTTAAGCCGGTGCTAGTGTTGGCGATAGCAGGAATTTACATCCATGTCCATGAAGGGGCTCTTTTTTGGTGTATGTGCTTTAGAGAGGAGTAAAATCATACGCATCTTAAAGTGGAAGGCATTAAACATGTAAGATGTTTTTGTATCATTTGAGTTTATAAAAATGTGCATGATGATGTCAAAAATAAATAAATAAAAAAAATATGATGATGAAAGAAAATTCATGTTTAAGTGTTCGTTTAAAGTCGCTTATTATTCCTAGATGAGAAAAGCAAATGTATCCGTATAATTTTAATTAGGTTTACATGCAATTTGAAAAAGTTATAAACATAGTCCGGGTAATTCTGGATCATTCCTCGCACTTTATTGTACCGTCTGCGTGCCGGGAATGTTACATTCCTTTGTCAATCTTTAATCTCATATTTTTTAAACAAATAACTGACCTATTATCCACATCGGCTAAATATACTTACTAGGACAATGACATTTTCTTCAGATTTAATTCCGGTGCCGCGTAATTATCACACACGTGGTGATTATTACGCGGCCGCATAATAATCACACAGTTGGAAGTAGTTCCGTGATACTTACACGTACGGTCTTATATACCCCAAATACATGTAACTTGCATTATATACCAATTATTTCTCATATGAATTCCGCATCTAATTTTATATCTTTTGTGCAAATGCTATGTTTTTCAAAACACGGGAATGGCTTAAAAGCATATTTTACTATATATGTATAATATTGGCAACAGGCTCCTTAATTATGCATAACTGTTTCACTATTTTTCGATACATATTTAACAATATAAACACATATAAAAACCCCAAAAACTTTAAAACCCAGAAGTTAAAGATAATAATAATAATAATATTATTAATTATTAAAATAATAATACAGTAAAAACTCTGAAAACCGGACCCTCTGAAAACCGGAATCCTCTGAAAACCGGACCATTTTAAAAGTCCCGTATTTTCTTCCTATATGTTTTTTTGCAAAAAATCCTCTGAATACCAGAACCTCTGAATTCCGAAAACCGGACGATTTTCTATGATTTCTAATGGTAAACATGCATAAAAATCCTCTGAAAACCGGACAGCAATTTAAAGTGTCAACTTTCTGTGTATATTCAATGTAGATCTAAACATTATCACAACAGGTGACATGTTCAATTACCAGGTAATGGTCACATCTCCTTTCATCTATGCAGGTGTGAAAACACTTGTCAGTGTATGTTAATTTCTTATTGTCAATTAAATTATAGCTCTTTCATCATATATGTATCTTTCCTCCTATAGATATGATTTTTCAAAAATGTTTTTAATGTGTTATGTTTTTTTTAATATAAAATGTTGGAAGAGTTTGGAAATTTTTTTTTAAATGATTACAGTTTTGCTTTAAATTTTGATCTTGAAGTAACTTTGCAAAAATAGTAATAATAAATTCCATTAATTACATTTTTCAAAGCTAATGAAAAAGATACCAGTATTCTGATATATTTCAGACAATGTGTTGTTTTAATTTTTGATTTTCTGAATTGGATTCATGGATTTGCATAGTAAAATTACTTAAGACATTTATTGCAAAATTAATTAAAATATGACTTAGATAAAAAGGTTGCAAAGTAAATACAAAATGATTAAACAAAGTCATTGTTCAAACACATGTCATAATCAATAAATGTATAAAACCTCTGAAAACGTTAAGAAAGTACTCCGGTTATGCTACGGCCAGTGATGGGAGATCACTGCATAACAGTTCGTCCTCAAAATCATTCAAACATTACGCAATTCGAACCAATATTTAAATGGACATTTTTCTTGGCACATACCGTCTTAAATTTATGACAATGTTTTCAAAAAACAGATGCTTGTCAGCAATACAAGTACATATTATCTAATAGTAAAATTTATAAATCGATATAGCTCACATTATACAGACAAAGTCTTTTCCAACCTAGTTTCAATTGGTTCATAATGATTTAGATGTTCTCCTATATACGTGGTAATACTTTTTAAATACATAAATGACATTTACGTGCAAATTCACTAAATGCTTGTCCTAGATGTCGTGCTTTACACACATACAGTAGCCTTCTTGGAACATACCTATTTAAATTATTACAACAGACAACCTCCATATTTTTCCAAATTTATTAAGAATGATAGAATAATGGTGTTCATTGACTTAAAGTAAACCAAGTTTTAATTATATGACCTTTACCTACTGGACTAATTAATTCATAAGCAATTTAGCGGCAAGTAAATTAAGGTAGACCATGGGTAATGCATTACCTCCACTTTGAAGAGTATTCAAATAGGCTAGAATCGCTTGCAAACTTCACTGAAATTGAGGGGCGTGGGTTTAAGCCCCAGAAGGTGAAGCTTTTTTTCTTTCTTTTTTTTCTTATTTACATTTTTTATGTATCTCTCTGATCTCTTATGGAAGGAAAAATGGTTTGATTTAAATAAAATAATTATTGTAGGTATTTAGTTGCTAAATAACGCCAAAATTTATAGTAAATATGATACCATATATTTTCAAAATTTAATAAAATAAAAGCTACACGTTAAAAGTATTTTATATTTCGCATGATCAACCAATATACCTTTAAGAAAATTTAGGCAAACTTTGAAAACAGTCCCTCATTATGGTAAATTTTAGGAATATTTTGAATATGGCATTTTAGTTGGGGAAATGGTAAAATTAGTGTTAAATGGGGGTGTGGTAGGGTAACATTTTTATACATATTAAGAACATTTTGTTTAGAAACAAACATTTTGATTGTGTTATTTGTTACCTGAATGTTATTTATTGTTTCTTAACAATGGGCAAAAAATTTTATTTAAATTTTGCATACAGGTGACCTTGAAGACATATAACTGTCCTATGTTGTCAATGTTACAGTTCCTTATGGTGCCCATTACCCATGGTCTACCTTAAGGCGATGAAAAAATATAATTTGTTGAAGAAGTTTTAAAGTGCTGTGGAGCCTGTGTCTCTTTTGCACCCAACATTGGGCCATGACTGCATATATATCGGAGTTTAATTCACATTGCTCTACTACCCTTAGGAATTCGAGGGCGAATTTTGATACAGCGGGAATTAATTGTCATTATTCAAAATTTTTAACTAGTTAGGGGAGTAGATGTGCAGTCAGCCGAATAGTTGATATTCTTGACAATTTACTCAGTTTTCCTAGAAATCGGCTATTTTCAGGTTCAAATAAATATCAATTTCAATCCACTTAGAAATGCTACAATGGACAAGAAGCAAAGTTAAAGACCCCTGACAAGTTTTAAAATCATTTCTACGTGAATTTAATACTTTTACAACCTTGCAGGTTATTTTCTTCAAAATACCATAAGAAATATGCAGAACTTTGAGAATAGTCAAAGATATACATCGAAATAGTTGTTCTGTGCTGAAGATTTATACCAATTTTTAAAGCGCATTGATCTTAAAGTTATATTCCTGGTCAAATTCATCAAAACAAATTGTCAAATTAACGCCTAATTGTTATCAAATGCATTATTTAACTAGTATTGACAAAGTTTTCCAACTTTGAAACGCTCTCCGTAACATTTCTGACAATTCTAAAAAATGCATTTTCTTATTTGACTGGGTTAGTCAAATAAGATTTATATTTAGTTAATTCCGAATGAAACCGATCGGGCCCGAGAGCTTTAACAAATGGCGGGGATTTCAAAAACTGGCGATAGTATATCCAGTTGCATCCGAGTGTTTCGGCGAAATAAGATTAAAATTGTATAGCATTTCATCATTAATGAGGATATACTTATGATTTAGGTGATAATTTATGAAAACTAAGTTGTAAGGTAAAATATCATCGTTCAACGGTAATATAACTTTCAATAAAGCCAAAAACATGGTTAAAATATGTAAATTGAACGTTTGATCGAATAGTATTGCTGACTTTTCCCCGTACAACTGTATTATGAATACCCTTCGAATTGTTTCAAAAGAGAGCGACCACTAATGAGTGTTTACAGACGGACTGACTAGTAGAGACATACATTCATAAGATCCTTTGAACGAATGAAGATATGAAAATTTCCTTAGAGCAAAGGAAAGAAAACAACAAAAATCCCAGATCCGGTTTAAATGAATTTATGACAGGTAAAAAATAGATTATATCAATCACCGGCTTACGTTGTATATAAATCCCACTATGTAGATATCAAAAATGACAAAAACGTTATGTACTAATTAGGTAGAAACAAAGAAATGACGTTAACGGGTAAACGCCACCTTTCAGTATTGACTTCGTTCTTGTGTGCTTTGAGAATAAAAATTCTAGAATCAAATATATTTCAAGAGCAACGAAATCCGACTTTGATTAACAATTATGTCTGCATATGAATTAAGTATCCCGGTTATCTAGCTAAAGTACGTATAAATGCAAGTATAATAACATTTGGTACCTTGATTTGACTTGTAGAAGTAAGTTTGCAGAAGGCATCCTGTATTCTCTTCTTGTGGCAGTTGGAAAGGTCACTGCAGATTGCACTTGTTTTCTGTAATTCAATGATGTTCGTGTCTAATTTAAGTCTGAATTTCAATCCAATAACGTTTTTAATTATATTTTACTTATATTGAATAAGAAACATTGATTTAAGCATAACTATATCAAATATCTTTTTTATAATTCCATGCATGTCGTTGATATAACCTAGTTACACATTATCCTATATAAAATATATATTCACCATAAGGATGTGTAGAATAAAAGAGATATTTTCTTCTTCGGTTGCAAGTTCTATATCATCGAAGAGATCTGTCCATTCGTTATCATAAAGCTCCGCATAGTCCTCCGCTATCTTTGTTGGTCGCGTTAGATAACTAAGGCGAGGATTATCGTAGGTCCAGTCAGTTTGACACGTTTTATTCAACCTGAAACATGTTTGTTACGTTTAAATCACTGTAACTGAACAACAGCCATCGGTCAACAATCATGTCGTGTAGGTAGGTAGGCATGGGTAGTAAGGTAGGTAGGTCGATAGGTAGGTAGGAATTTCGTGCCAAAAAACGGCAATTTTTTAACTAAAGCAGAGAAAAATTTGGTAAAAGTTGGAATGTTATTACATATTTACTTATAAATGATAAGATAAAACTTTTCTTAAAATTGACTAGCAAACAAAAATGATTACGGACAGTATGATCACTTATTGTTGTCCTAATTTTAAACAAGAACATTACAATTGTTACGCATTTTAGTTGGGTTTAAAGCAAAAAACTTTGTGAGGAGTTTAAGGCAATTTTCCAGCATTAGCGTCTTCAGTTGTCTCTGCGAACATTACCCCAGACGTAACCGGTGTATTTATTAAAATGAATTACTCAACAATGAAGCATGGGTCATTAGAAATTGACTTATTGTTGACTATTACATGTTTTCCTGTTTGATGCAAATTATAAGAAAGTACAATTATGTGGCTATGCTAATGTACTATCAGCTTAACTAAATTTCTTGGCTTCATAAAAGATTATAAGTACGTACATGTAAATTGTGTATATTTCAGAATATGGTATTGCATAATATAGAAGACGCGTATGTTAATTGATATACATGTAATTATAAATATAACGGAATTCTAGCTATTTGTTTTTTTTAAATTAATCCTGCTTAATGCAATGTTCACGGTGCCTGTACAATGTCTTTATATGGAGAAACAATTTATTCAAGTTTTTAAAATGACTATGTATTAACACTTACGCTTTGTGTAGTCAACATTTAAGTTTTATATAAATCCCTTAAAGACACGAACCAAAAACAATTGCGGATACTAGAGGCGTCATGTTCATCGTCTAGATGTTTATATACAGAGTGTGTCACCGCAAAATAAAACGTAAGAAATTATCAGCTGTAATACTGATTTTAAAATATCAAACAAATGCATGAGTTTTGCTTTTTCTTTATTGCAATACAAGAAAATGCTTCTTAACGTAACATTTCATTTTACCAATTAAGCTTAATCAAACTTAAAAACAATTTTTTACCTCTCGAACGTCTTATCTTCTACATTTTCATTAGCATTGTCTGCTTTCCTATAAAATACATACAAGAAATACGTTTAAATGTAGCAACATACAACATACGCGCATATATTTTGGCCATTTAAGGTCCAAGAAGATAGAAATCTAATATTGTCCTGTATTTTACGGAGCTACATTTTAATATGTATCGAGCTAAGCTGGACAAACCGTTAGGCAATATTTATATGATTTAGCCATATGCGAATAAAATATTTTGTTTATTGCTCAGAACTCGTCAATTATCTTGTTTTCTCGATGTGTTATAATTTTGTAATCATTCGTATTTTCATTTCAAATAGTAACGTTTAACCTATACTGAATGTTCTACACTTTTAGTTGCCCTTGTTTACAGATAGAGAGTCAGTCATACAGCTGTATCTATATATGGTAGACTCGTATACTTGGTCAATATATTAAATACACTTCCCAAACATGCCCGTATATGTTGAGAAATCGGGATCGTATAAAACTTTTCTATCAGTCGCTATGTGACATTATCTTCATATAGTACTATCAAAACACGAATGTCCTCCCTCTTTACAAGATGCTTACTCTCATTAGTCAGCTACAACAAGAGCATGTTAAAGATATTAAGGTTTCCAATGCCAAGTTTTCGTAGAAAAAAATAGATAAAGAATAGGCAAACGTAAAAAAGAACAAATTACATGTAAAAAGAACTGTGTAATGTATTTTATAAAAAAATTCTAAATCTACCCGAGGCAATTATTTACTTATACTGAAAAAACTGCGATAGGATTATTACAAAGAAACTACCAGTCAAAATAAGTCTGATATCATGAAACATAACAACTATCATTTTAAATACTTTGGCCAAAATCAAGCTTTCCTTTGCATGTTATAATTCTAAGTTAGTTCTTTAGGAAACAGTTAATCGGACAATAACAAACACATAATTAAGCGATTTCACAAAATATGTGTTTTTGTACGACAGAAAAAGTCATGTAGAACAAAAAAGGTTCAATTACTCATGGAAAGATAATCTTCATATGAAATCAAATCAATTTATGGAAACAAATGATAATTAAAAACTGTCCGTGCAAAACTCAACTTCGACAACATCTTTCATTCGTATAATTAATTCTTTTTCCTCAGATTGGACCATCATACAATACACATTTAAAGAGAATGACGAAGCTGAATTTGTGTTAATGAATTACGACACCGTCGCCGGAAACACAAGTTATACAAGACGGAAGGTCCGTAATATTGTTATGCTAGTTGTTGAGAGTCTGTACCTTAGTAAATGATGAAAAATAATTTGATAATCAGCAACATACCTATGAAGCTAAGAAGGAAATGAGTTTATAAATACAGGCAATATGCTTATACATTGAGTTCGTAATATTCCAAATATTCGTGTTTAATTGACCAGACAATGATACGCTAAAAATCTAACCGTAAAATGCAAAAAGTATCAATTTAAAAAGTGAATCACTTTGCCAGCAGAGCGATATTTTATATGCCTTGTGTAATTTACACAGATAAAAAAGAAGCAATACAATAATGAAAAAGCTGTAATAATGGAGTATGAATTCGTTAAATAAAATTACGAAAACAACATTTGCGATCGTGTTCATACGTGTGTCTTTTAAGTTGATAATAGAGCTGTCATCGATAAAAACAATGTCGGTGAACATTTGTCTGTCGATCAATAATAGATATACATTGCAAAAAAAATATACTAATTAATTAAATGTTTAGAATTTACAGAAAAAAACAACAACACCAAAACATTATACAGAAACAGGGGACATGTCTAACAGTATGCTGTTGTTACATAACAGAAATATTTCATAGCAATGATGACAAAATATGGTCAGGAAACAAATCATGTAATAGGCATTAATTTTAAAAAAAAAAAGCCACATATCAGAACATGTATTTACTGAAATTATTTAAACAGTTACGAAAGGACAGACAATGTAATAATCGATAATCTATAAGAAAAATGATGTCTCCTTTTTAATGACATCATTTTTACATAACACTAAAAATTTAATTGGTTTCACTCAATAATTAGTTGTTTTAACAGTAGGTTAACGTATTTTGTGGATCAACTTTAGGATAAAATTTATTTTTCAATGATGTATGCGTTATTACGTTTTTATGAAATAATAAAAATCATGCTATTACCTTTTTTCTAGCTGTTTCTGTGTAGATTTTAGAGTCTTCACTTCTGTATTTAGCGTTTCCACAATTTCGCCTAATTTACGTTTCTCTGTTTCCAATGTATCTATTTGATACTCCAGTTCAGTACTTCTGACTTTGATTTCGTTTTCCTTACAAGTGAATGCATGTCTTGTCTCATTTAAGTCATATTCAAGTTGTTCTGTTTCCTTTCTATGTTTACAACTTACATTTTTCATGTCAATATTCATTTTCTTAATATGATCATTTAGTCGTTCGATATTCTTTTTGTGTTCAACATTTAAATTCTGGAGATATTTAATTTCCCTGTAAAGAAATATACAGATGTAAACGTAAAAGAGTGACAAAATTACATGCACGAATAATTTTACTACTGGATTATTATCTCTTATGCTGGCACTGAATAAGTAGTTGTTCCATTGGTTAAAACATTTTAAGCTGTTCTGTTTCGAAGAAAAAGGAGAGCTAGAATGGTTTCTGCATCGTCGTTGTCGTCGTTGTTGTAAACAACTATTAATACAACCGAATATTCAAACATTTAAAAGGCATCAACACAAAAGAAAGAATACTTGTTTATTATCAGAACAGAACAGAACAGAGTTTATTCATAACTTGTGAACACATAGGTAAATTATTATAAAAGCATGTTGAAATATATTGTTAGGTCAAATGCAATAAATTAACTCCATTAATCAATTATATAGCTATATCAATAAATCACTGCTGTAAATGAATAATGAAGACCACTTGACTTAAGCGGAAATAAAATTATAACTTTGCTTTTAATCGAATTTGTTTAATTTTTTCGAATTTGTTTAACTGAAAATTTACTCAATATTATATAAAGAACGTCACAGTTTATATAATCAAAACAGCATCATAATACTATTGAAGATACCTAGAGTTATCAATAATGGCATACGTTTGTAAGTACTTCATGGCTTTTAGATTGTAGTAATCTATAAATTTGGTCATATTAGGCCGAATGAAGAAAAAACGCTTAATAAATTGGCTACGTTGATTTTCATAACAAAATGATACTCGACTTGGAGCTCGTTAGCATCACAGAACGGCTAACACTAGATTAGTCTTTGTTTAAAAATAAGTAAGAACTGTTTCACCAATACAATGTCGGGAAAATTCCATATGTCGGCAAAACCAAGTACCGCAAGCAGTCTTTTCACTTTACATGGCATATATCACAGGGTAAAGTTGTAAGTAAATTCAAAGCTGTCATTCAATCACTGACACAGAAGTTTCACGACAAACCTAACAACAAGTAGTTCTCAAAACAGCTTAAAACTAGCGATTTAAAAGACAGAAATATTTTTATTTTGTTACAAGTATCCAACAAATTACAACGCATTCAAAGTTTAAATGTAGCGTTGGCTTATAGAATGGTCAATAATTGCACAATCACAAATTACGCGAATGAATATGATTTTAATCAATGAAAATGCTATTCTTAGCGATGTTGATTACTGAATACTACACAAATAAATCTGACCGCTGAGTAGTGGAATATATAGATTCTACATGCCGGACTGTTTGGGCGAGAAGATTTTTGCTAAATTATTTACTTCAATTTTAAACAACAGGTTTAACCTGAACACAATACCTCGAAATTAATAAGGATTACAAACCCGAAATGCAATGAAAGTTATAAATTTAGAATGACTTGATTTTATTCAGGCATTGATTATATAAATTCTCCGTGGTGCAAGGGTAACGCGCTCGTTTAGTGTGTGAGAGGTCAAATCACAGTCGAGGCAACTTTTTTAAAATTCTTTTTTAAGTGTCTTTGTAAAGGAAGTAGCCATGATATGCAAGGATAAAGAGTGGCTGTCATAAAAATGAACATAAGTGATTTTTTGATGCAACTCTATTTATGCAAAATTCCGTATGTATTAAACTCTGGTGCCTTGCAAGATGAATTATAGTACATAAAAATAAACTTATACAGGAAAATACATACAGATATACCGTACGATTTAGATTGCAAAGATCAGAAAATACTACAGAGCTTGCAGCCCTTTGATGTTACTATGCTAATATGAGTTATACTTTTGTCCCATTACACGCAGAATAAAATAACCATGCCAATAACTTAACATGGGTAGTAGCGATTATCTAGCAACGATGTATACTTTAGGAAATCAAGTCTAACATGGATTTATTGCAAGAACATATCTCTGATACTGAAAAAGGTTTAACAGAAAAGATTACTGACATATTGACTAAGATGTTTGATAAGAGATTAAGTTCTGAAACAGCAAAGTTACGGAAGGAGATTGACAATAAAATTGGAGATATCAGAAAAGAAGTTATAGATGACATTTCACAACTAAATGAGAAAATTGAACATTTTTCCCTTAGGGAGATAGAAAATATCCAACGTGGTAACAAACAAATTGAGTGTAATGTAGTGGTTAGGAACTTACCATATCAAGAATCTGAAAATTTAGAAAGGAAAGTTGAAGACCTTTTGCATAAAGCACTTAAATTGCGTGATGTTTCGGTCTAAAAGGTGGAAAGGAAAGATAAATTTAACAACAAACCAGGAGTTGTGATTGTGAAATGTAAAGATACAAATGATAAAAAGAAAATTCTAAGTGCTAAAAGTGTTTAAAAGGATGATGACAAATTTCGTTCAGTTTTCATTAGCTGTGATCAGACAAAGGAAGACAGAGTTATGGCTGCTTATATGCACACAATTGTCAATGCCATTAAGGAGTGTTCGTCAAACCTAAGTTTTCGTTGGACATGAGTTATACGACATGATAACACTACTCTATGAGCTAATAGAAATACGGTGACGGATGAGAACCGTCCAAGACAAATTAAACGTAATGCAAGCAGGAGAAATCAAAATGTAGATTCACCATCTAATGGGGGCAATAATTCAGGAAGAGGGCAAACAAGAGGCCAGCAACATGGTGGTCATCGAGGGGGACGTGGAAGATACCAGAATAATCATCTGGGAGGACAGAGGCAAAGATAGATTGTAGCAGGATTTTGGAATGTGAATGGATGGAAAACTGATAATGAATCAATAAACTTTCAATTAAGAAATGAATGTAAAAGTTATCTAGACTTAGATATTATAGGTATCACTGAAACGCATCTCAAAAACAATGAACAATTAATTCTTGAAAATTATAAATGGTTTGGTAACAATAGATAGAATTTACATGTGAATGCATGGGGAGGTTCAGGGGGGTAGGCTTTTTAGTAAAGAAAGATTTTTATTCAGTTTTTTGATATTTCTATTGAAAATGATCAGGAAGAGGGTATTTAATGGTTATGTTTAAAAGATAAATTTAATGGGAAAGATTTATTTATGTGTGTATGCTATCTTCCCCCAAAGAACTCGTCTAGACAGATCGATGCGTCTATATTTTATGATAAACTTCTGGGTGGTATCTTTGACTATCAGAATAAAGGTTCTATCTGTATATGCGGTGACTTTAACAGCCGATGTGGGGAGGAATATGATTTTATCGAAGGTGTTGACTGTATACTTAGTCGAAATATAATTGACTATACATATAATGAATATGGTGATGTTTTAATTGATTTTTTAATTAGTACAAACTTTTGTATCTTAAATGGTAGAAATTGTGTTGGAAATGACTTTACTTGCATTAAACCACAAGGTTGTTCAGTGGTCGACTATTGTCTTGTTAGTCATAATGATTTGTATATGTATTCTGATTTTAAAGTTGTACGTTCTTCAGATTTAGTAAATTATGCAAATTTTGTACAACAAATTGGAGTTCCCGACCATTCTCTTTTGCAGTGGAATATTCTTTATAATTTTTTCAAGAGTTGATTCAAAGAATAATCATGAAATACATGAAACTAAGTTTGATTTCAAAAATATTCCAGGTAACTTTTTACAAGATCAAAAAGTAGTATCGGATTTATTAGAGTCAGTCCACCAGTTGGAACAAGGGCTCGAACACAGTGTGATATTGATAATGCATACGAGACACTCTGTAATACTATTTAAAATGATATGCATGATAAACTGTCTTGTAAACGTTTTATTTTTAACAGTTCTCAAATGAATAAAAAGCGAAGGGTCGGAAAACCATGGTGGAATGATGATTTAAGTTTGTTATGGAACAATGTTTGTAAATCAGAAAAAGACTGGCTATGTTGTAAATCTAACGGTAGAAGAAACGAGCTGAATTGTATATATAGAAACTGTAGAAAACTTTTTGATAGGGAGGTACAAAAACTAAAAGAAATTACTGGTTCCAACAGCAGGGAGAACTACTTATCTATGTAGAATGTGACCAAAACAGGTTTTGGAAAACAATTGGTAAAGTTGGTATATCTAAAACAAAAACACACAACATTCCATTTGAGTTTGTTGATGACAAAGGAGTATTAGTTACAGATCAAGACAAAGTTTTAGATTATTGGAAAGATAGTTTTAAAAGATCTCTTGAATGGTTCCTCTGCTGATGGATCTAGCGTTTATCGTCAAAGAGACGTTCATACAGATTATTACAGTTATATCCCACAGCTAGACAATAATATTTCAGTAAATGATGTAAAAAAAGCCATAGATAAAGCTGATTTCCGTAAAGCTTGTGGTGTTGATAACATACCATATGAAGCTTTTAAAAATGATACTGCAGTTTCATTATTGCATGTACTGTTTAATGTATGTTTTGAAACTGGTCAAATACCTAAAGACTGGGGAAAAGGCATTATAAATCCCATCCCAAAATCTAATACAACAGATCCTTTGAATCCGTTAAATTATAGGGGTATAACTTTAGCACCTACTATGTACAAGCTATATTGCTCAGTTATTTACGAACGGTTATCATCATGGTTAGAGGATAACTCCAAATTGGTAGCTGATCAAAATGGCTTTCGTAAGAAGCGTAGTACTGGGGACCATTCATTAAGTATCACATCTATTTTAGAAACTAGATTAAAAAAGAAACTCAGCACTTTTACTGCGTTTATAGATTTTAAAAAGGCTTATGACACAGTTGACCGTTCAATATTATGGGAACATTTATTTAAGATGGGATTGAATTGTAAAATGTTAAATGTTATTAAGTCTCTATATTCTTGTGTAAGTTCATGTATAAGACTGAATGGTTACACTTCAAGGAATAGAACTTGAAGAGGGTAAATTCTTATCAATTTTATTATATGCTGATGATGTAGTACTTTTGGCAAAAAATGAGCAAGATTTACAAGCCATGTTAGATACTGTATTTATATGGTGTAATACAAATCATATGACAATCAATGTAAAGATAAGTAATATTGAAATTTTC